GTAATCTGGATGAACTGACTGCACAGACCATGTTTTCAGGAGGACTTTCTCACTTCAAAATAGATTCAAACTACTTTCTACCCACTGATCACAGCAAATATAGCTGCCATTGTTCCAGGAAAAGAAAGGATAGGGTAGCTCCACCCAACGTACATCAGACCAACTTTTCCACCGCGCAGCCAGAGCAGCAAAGATCCTTCAGTCGAGCGTCAGAACTAAAATTGTACAAGCGTCAAAAAAGAAGCAGCAGAGATGTTTCTGCTGCTCCTGCTGCTTTAGGTGTGAACGTAGCATAACAGTGGCTAGCTTCCAGCCATGGCGTCCTGCACAAGCATTGGGGGGTCGATTCGTTCATGTGTCAGGGTACAGGCAAAGGAGGGAGGGACAATTAGACGACCATGACTGACCTGTCAGGATGTGTCGTGATTGGTTGGGGTTATTTACAGATTTCTCATTGTAGTTGGGAGCATTTATTTTAGTTTCACTTCCAGACCTTCTATTTCACTGCTTGTTACGCGGCTGTGGGCAGATCTTTAAGCCACATGGCAAAAAATGCATCAGAAAAGATCTCCTACTGCACCTTTAAGGAGACCCTCGAAGTACTCCTTCCACTGCCCGAAAACACGCCCAGTCGAGGTCAGCAGTTCCCCACTAGCACTAGCAATGATGATGAAGCACTGCTTCCCCCTCCTTAAGGACTGATTATCCTCCCGCAGCAGAGTGTCTCAGTGTGCTTGTTGCAGATATTTTTTATTTATACCCAATATTGCTGCTTAAATGTTATTCCATGCTACAACGCAAGAGGGACAATCAGGAACTAGCTGTGGTTCTAAACCGAGGCGGTGAGGAACGGCCACATCTTCAATGGAGGAGGAGAACATGGACCACTCTGACTCCATTTCTCCAACTTCCCTCAGGATCTGGGAAAACCTCGTCCAGAGGTGGGGGTTTGAAGACCGTAGGTCCACAGGAAGGCAGGCCCACGTTGTCCATTCAGGCTGGCCCAGCCATCAGATGCCCGCATGCGAGTCCCAACTCCAGGCCTGGCTCAAGGGTGAGGCCCCCGCTGTGCTAAACGTCATAGTCCTTGATTTAATTCTCTTCACTGGTCTCATTCGCAATTCTCTTTGTTTACGCTTCTGACTGGCCATGTCCTAAAGGGGAGGGAAATACCAGCCACAGCGTACACAGGAAAAACGCCAGAGTTAAGTTTATTTCTTTTACCAGCAGGGGAATATGGTCACCTGTTATCGTAGTGAAGGACTGTAACTGCTACCCGAGCGCCGCACAATGGCAGCCCACTGCTCCCCAAGGAGATGGGTTAAATGCAGAGAGTTCATTTCGTTGCTCTGTACTGGTGACAGTGGAATGTCAATAAAGTTTAATCTATTCTAATTCTATTCTAGCGGTATTTTCACCCAGGCCTACGTCATGATGTAACCCTGTCTTTTAATGACATTAGAATTCATACGTTTTAAACATTTTTATTCATCTCTTTTTGATTCAGTCGCAAAGGTTCCTGTTCTATTATATTCTGCAGTTTCCTAATAAGGATATTTTATGAAATTAGCAGGGACTGTGACCTCATCGCACAATTAGCATATTAATGGTACATCAGCATTAGCAAGATGAAGTGATTGAAACTCCATTTAAAACTCAAGATATACTTTCTAACATTATATTATTTCTCTGGAAGGTTAATTTAACCTGAACTGAGACCAAATCAGTTTGATGGATGGGGGTCTGCTGCAGGGAGAATCTATTTTAATGCAACAGCTTCAAAGAAGAAACAAACATGTGGCGAATTTCCATTTTCTGCTTCTGAGAAACACAGTAAAGCCTGGTTTATACTCAGAAACCAGGGTGTCTGCGTGCCCCCACCCCCCTTCCGCAGACACTCTGCTGCAGCTCCCCACAATTGTAGGTGACCGCAAACAGTGCTGCAGATAGGAGGCCACTGATTGGTCAATTCTACATCCGCTCTACACTATGCGCATTTCCTGTTTGGTACCTAATGGCAGAAACTCTGGCTGTAGCTCCGTCCACAACGCCTGGCACACCTCAGACACTATCCCAGACACTGTGCAGGATGCTAGTTTGTAGCTCTGTGCGACGGTCTGTTGAAGCCAAAACACGAAACGCCACGGCAAGTCTTTGGGGAACACTCACAGTTGAACTGTTTGTCGTCCAGCGTTGGATGAGAGTTTGTAGACGCGAAACAAGCTTGTCAAACCGAACCAGACACCCACAATACTAGCTAGTCCGTGATTGTCCATCTGGCATTCTGGCGTTGGATGAGATTTAAGGGGCCCTTAAATCTGCTGCGCCTCATTCAGTCATTTGGAGGAGGGAGGGGCTAAGCTGAGGACCCCACACTCCACTGCTTTCACATCTTCACCAAAGTCTCCAACAAGACAGGAAATGTTCGCTAGGTTTGTCACTAGTCGCTTTTTCCTTTTAAACAGTTTCTAAATATAGCAACACATTTGCTGACTTGGCAACAAGGTGTCCACCTGCCTCGGTCAACATTTTCACAGCGCTTCCCTCCATGTGAGCAAAGAAAGGTGTTTAAAAACTGTTTCCTTTAAGCTAATTAAAAGTCAGGGTATCGACATAATGCAGATATAATTCTAAAAGTTTTAATGTAACCAGCGCTGTGGGGGGAGCCTGATTCATTCAAGGTCATAAACCAGGAAGCTTCAACGTTTTCCAGGCCAAGGACCCCCAAACTGATGGTGAGATGGAGTGGGGACCCCCTAATTATATATATTGCATAAAATAGTGTTCTGTCAAACTGGTCCTACAGTCACTCTATTATAGATGGAGTAATGTAACTAAAGTAATTTCTCCCCGGGATTATTAAAGTATTTCTGATTCCTGGTTGATGGGACAGGTGTTGTGAATGAAACGGTGTCCAGCTTGAAAGAGCTCCTGTGTGTCGCTGAATTTGTGCATTGATGACTGAAAGACATCTTCTGCCTCCATTTATCTGTTTACTTCAGTCTGTAGAATTCATGTTAATGTGGATTTAAAGACATTTCAATAAGTGGATAAAATTGCAGGAGGGAATATGAAAAAAAAAAAAAAGTCTTATCAACCAAAACTTTAGTGACCCCCATGCAGTACCTCTCTTGACCCCCTAGGGGTCGAGGAACCCCTTTGAAGTCTGATTGTCAGAGTAACAGTGACTTTTTCCAAAGGAACAGCCGTTCTGCTTATCATACGCTGCAGAGATTTAATTCAACTGTCACAATAAATTCTTAAAACATTATTATGATGCAGGACTTTTCTTTTAATTCAGCAAATTGGAAAAAATATAAAAGCCATTGTGTTCATGCAAAGATCCTCTAAACACAAAATAAAACGTAGGTATTTTTAAAAGAAAAGGTTGGCTGTCCATTGATCATCAGTTTATCAATAAGATCAGTCAACCTTAGATCAATTAGTTGATTGATCCTAGAATCTTTAATAGATATTGTTTTATAGTTTTGTTATTTTCCTGGCATTCCTGATGAAGTAAAGTAATCCGGATGCATTTGGATGGAAACAAGTCCTGGACTTTAAAGGCCCACATTTTCCACATGCACTGGAAAAGCCTCATTCCTGGGGGTTTCTTCCTGTTTCCTCTCCACTGTCACTGTATGCATGCTCACCGTGAGAGACTGCTGCAGAGTCAATGACACGTCGCAACAAAGCTGTCTGCTGATGGAGAAGGATGGACTGCAGATAGTTACGTTAAAAATCATTTTAATTCTAATTTCATTCTCGTTTTGGATTAAATCAGCTGGAAATGTCTCCTTCATAATAGGAATCAGCTGTAATATTCAGCAGGTCCTAACCTGTGGAAATAAACACGGAAAAAGAGTAAAGGTAGAGAAGAGGCAGACGTCCTGTGGGCCATCTCATCACCAGATCACCTCTGCTGGGTTTTACTGCACAGATTTCCAACAGGAAACTCAGTCTTGATTAAAGTTAGTCGCTGTAGAAACGGAGCAGGTGCTAGATTAAGATTTCCTCATAATCCCTGCATGACTGATCCCAGATGCTGTCTGACTACATTCCAGTTTCTCTTAAAGCAGGTGAAACTCGATCACTGTTGCAGAACGCAGGCCTGGGCAAACTGACACTAAACTAACATCCAGCAATTAGACGGATCCATGGGAATGTGGAGGGATGGGAGGTTTTCTAGGATTAAAAGTCTGTTATTCCATAAAGATGGTTTTCTGCTCTATAAACAGCCTCTTTTCAATCGTCTGGCTGCTTATTGTTTGCTTTGAATGACCTTGAGATTCTGTTTATTTCTGCTTTTATGACTGAAGTAGAATCACATTTTTTATTTTAATTAATTTTGCTGAAAAAAGAAAGCATTGTCCTCATTAATGCAGATCAAAGAAAGATCAAAGCTTGGTTCTGATTGGCTCTGTTTGGCTCTGATTGGTTCTGTTTAGTTCTGTTTGGTTCTGATTGGCTCTGTTTGGCTCTGATTGGTTCTGATTTGTTCTGTTTGGTTCTGTTTGGTTTCGATTTCTGATTGGTTCTGCTTGGTTCTATTTGGTTCTGATTTCTGCTTGGTTCTATTTGGTTCTGATTTCTGCTTGGTTCTATTTGGTTTTGATTTCTGCTTGGTTCTGCTTGGTTCCATTTGGTTCTGATTTGTTCTGATTTCTGATTGGTTCTGCTTGGTTCTATTTGGTTCTGATTTGTTCTGATTTCTGATTGGTTCTGCTTGGTTCTATTTGGTTCTTCTGATTGGTTCTGATTTCTGCTTGGTTCTATTTGGTTCTGAGTTCTGCTTGGTTCTGGTCCAGACTTTAGCTCCTCATCAGGGTTCTCTAGGGCTAAACTTCCTGTTATCTGAAGTTTTTGCAGGATGTTTAATTAGGAGCCAAACTGCTCTTTGAATCAATACAGTTTATAAAAACATTCCTCCAAGTTTGGTAACAAATTAACTCTTTTCTTCCAGGTGTGTTTGTGACGTCAGAGCGGCTCTGGAAGCTCACCTTCTGCTGCCTGCGGGCCATGTCGGTGGGCTGCTTGGCGTTGAACGGGTAGGAAATGCAGCGCAGAACAAACACATAGATCTGCAGCTTGATCCTCCTCTCCTTCTCCTCCTTCTCAACGCGCTCGCGCTCCTTCCTCTCCTCATCGTCACCTGCAGAGGGGGGGTCCTTGGCCCCTCTACCGGGGGTCCCTCCAGCCGCGGCAGCCGGCAGCTGCTGGCCGCCAGTCCGTCCGATGTTTCCCCGCCTCCCTGCCACCGAGAAGCCGCTGGGTTTCTCCAGAGGCTCTCGGGTAACTTCTGGGTCGGACTCTCCGCCCGAGTCTTCGCTAGAGGAGGGGTCCAGCATGGTTCCGCCGCGCAGCCAGCCGCCCTGCAGGGATGGTTTTGGTTGACGTGGCGCTCCGCCGGTGCCTCACCTGTCAGCGCCGCTCCGCTGCGGGGATCAGCGCTGCGTTTGGAGTCACGACCCGAATGCGGTCCCTGGTGACGTCAGGCAGGCGGAGTTTTCCGCCGCGCGAGCTTCGTTCCTTTACACCGGGAAACAGTGTCGGTATGGCAGCGCGGAGCTGGAGGTACAGGTGAGCAACCTGTGGCTGCGGGCACAGATATGCGAAAACAGGAGGTGTCACTCTGAGTCTTAAAGCGCAGGGAGCGTTTCCGAGGCTTCCAGCTGTTTGTTTCGGATCCAGGGAACTGGAGGAGGGGAGGCATAACAGGAGCAGCAGGTAGCCTACTAAGTGCCCCCCCATAGCCTATAGGCAATAAAACACTCCACAGCTTCTCAATCAGTGAAGCAGGAAGAGTCTGACCTACAGATCCTGAAAAGCCTGATTTTGCAATGAAGTTTCATTTAAAAGAAACTTGTTATGTTCAGATGTCCTGAATGATCAAAGCTCTCAAGTGTCCAGTTTTGTCCAGAAAACTACCGTATGTCACCCTGTGTTGCGCACCGCAATGAAGCAGGTTATTGGATATTCCAGCTCCGTGCAGTCAGCGGCTCCTGCCTCACAGACCATCCGATTCAGGAGCTCAGACTCCGGCCAGCCGCTCTCTGACGCTCCCTCTGTGGGACCGTCAACAAATTCCCGAACCAAGAATAAATCAGGTCCATTTCTTTTGGCCCAATGAATCAAACCAATAGTACATCGGGATTATGCAAATGTGGCACACGCGTTATAGTTTAATTATCAATATGTTTTACATTTAAAAAGTTTTTTTTTATTATTATTGATATGTACTATTTTTCTTTGAATGCTTCCAAATCAGATGACCTACTGACTCAAAATATTTCGGAAATTGTTCTACTAGCTGGGACAGAGGAGGAACACACCTTTTTTTTTTTTTTTTTTTTTTTTTAAGTCTTTTTTTTTTTTTTAAGTATAAATTGTTATTCTTATTATATATATACTTACAGAAACGAAGAAGGAAGTTATCCTGTTGGATCAGAGCAGATTTATGTTTAGACCAGGGGCGGACTTGGGGAATTTGGGGCCCTAGGCAAAGACAGGCAGGGGCCCTCCGAATGGAGAAGACGACACATAGACCAGACCCATTATCCAGATAGAGAAATGTTAATAGAATAGACATCCATTATCTGTTCTAGGTTGTGTCCCTCTCTTCTTGTCCCTTTTCTTCTTGTTTTCCTCTCTATGTTTTGTACTCAGCTGACTTTTCATGCTGTCTCTAAAGGAATGAAAGATTTTTTCCAAGCACTAAGCTCACTTAGCTGATTGCTCCTTCCTGTGTTTCCAAAAAGGCCAAAGTAAATAACCCAGTCCTTCTTTTCACTGTAGACAAGCCATGATCTGCTTCTCTGTTCTCCATTTTTCATTTGGATAATAGCTGCATGAATCATGACAGCAGACAAGATAGAGGAGAGCAGGAGGCGGGGTTACCAATCTACTTGCTCTGGAGAGCAGAGGTCGCTGCTTTTAGATGTTGTCTCCAAAGTCTCCAGTAGCAGAAAAAAGTTGCTAGAATTGGCTCTAGGAGCTTTTTTTAAAATCAAAGTTCTAGAGGGGTCTGAAAAGTGGCTAAATATAGCGACTAAAGCGCTAAGTTGGCAACACTGCTCTTTGCATGGTTTGTTTTCAAATGTTTTGCTGCTGTCTGTTTGGACCTTTCTGAACATGTGCAGCAAATGGACTGATCCAATATGGTGGACACTGAAGGGGGGGCTGAGACACACTTAATATTATCAGGGTTCTGATGGCATTTTAGCCAAAGGATTTTTTTTATCACAAACATAGTTTATGTGAACAAATAAGGAATAGTTGTATTAACCATACATGGAAACAGTTTTATGGGCCCCCAGGAACTTGGGGCCCTAGGCAGCTAACTAGTATTGCCTAATTGTAAATCCTCCCTAGTTCAAAGGGATTATAATGACTAACTTATACACATAAATACAGTTGTATATGAAAATATATATTTATAGTCAAAATACATATATATGTGCAATTTTATGAATATACATATATAGGATATTTTAATGTCTTTACAATTTTTATTTCTTAATTTTTTCAACATTGACTTTAACTTTTATTCCCCAGTTACTTTTATACAGCTGAATGTAATCCAAAGGACCTGGAATTAAACTCAAAGCTCTGCACCTTCATCTTACACTGGTTTAATGTGGAGTTAAAAGTTTTAATCTTTTTACAAAGCAGCAAAGTTTATTCTTATTCAAGATCTTGTTTTTCTTCAGTCATTTCTGGCTTCAGTTCATCCTTAAAGACTTTTCATCTGTTTTTAGGATTCTGGATTCAAGAAAGAGGAACCATCAGGACGTCTGGATGGGCGACCCGGATGGAGAGAGCAGCTGTTGGAGCCGAGGCAGCTAATCCCTGCAGATTCTGAGTTATTGCCAGCAGGCATACGGCGGCCCGACGTAAAACTTCCTTTATGCTGAATCCAGAAGGTTCCCAAACATCATCATCATCTTTGAAACAACTTTGTTTGTTCGTTGATTCTCAGTTATTCACAGAACAAGCAAAACAAGCTCTTAGCTTGTTTTATTAAAGGAAAAGTTCGGTCAGCGAAGAATAACCATTATTTAGACCTAAAACTAATACTTTCACGGTGATGGAATGAATTTAGAATTAATCAGTAAAAAAAATATAAATTTTCATTGTGATCACAGAGTCTGGAAGCGGCCATTTTTGCCCAAATATAGTAACCCCTTCCTTTCTGCCATCTTCCAGCAGTGACGTCACGGTGCGGTAAGCCTAGCGCCATTCTCCCGCTTTACAAGCAAAATCAATGGGAACTACTAGACACATCTGCAATCAACAACAATTATTGAAGATTTCCAGAGGACTTCACCATTGAAATTCACCAGAGCTATAGTGAAACTGACAATGCCCACGTGCATGGCAGCTGGATGTTGGAATACATCGGGTAAAAGTGAAAAAAAAGAGTTATTCCACCTTTCTGATTCCTGATCCTCCACGGACGGGTTGGTCGTTGGATCGCCAACTTGAAGAGGGAGGATTTGCCATTGAACTTCTGGCCAGAGAAAAAACCCGTAATATGTAGCCAACATTTGGAAGAAGAATGTTTTCAAGATGACTTGGATAATAGCGCGTTGTGACAAACAGCAGATACAGCACTGGGACTTGATCAACAGCCGATACCGCACCGTGACGTCACAAACCAGTAGGTGGCAGTAGTGTTCTTTGACAAACATGGATGCCTCCAGTAAAGCACATTCAGATGAGAATTACTCTGAATTAAAAACACTGAGCATTTATTGAACAGGATGGAATAATTTCATATTTAAAATATTTTAAGGAGTTTGAATTCCGAATGTGACAGAACTTTTCCTTTAAAGAACTGAAAGATTGAATTAAATAGCACAAACATAACAGAATACAGCAGCACTGAATGAATGATCCTAAAACTTCAGAGGAACGATTCAGAGCTTTTTCTTTCATCAACAGACAGCAGCTTCACTCAAACATGAAATATTCGCTGGATCTTTTATTAAGGTCTGGTGGAGTTAAAGCCTGGAAGGACTGGCGCCCAGTCAGGGTACGAGTCTAGAGAAAACAGAGGGACCCCCCATGTTGCCACAGCCAACAGGACTGTTAGGAGCCCAATCACATTGACCCCAATACCAGCCTTCACCTGCAATGGAAACCAGAGTCAGGGGGAGAAGTGGAGCAGAGAAGAGCTGCATGTTGGTAAAATGAGATGATTTCAGAGGTTTTCATTTAGTACTGACCATGTCCATGATGGAGATGTATCCATAGGAGAAAACCACGGCATTGGGTGGATTGGACACTGGCAGCAGGAAGGAGAAGGATGTGCTGAGTGTGGTGGGGATGAGGACGTATAACGGGTTCACATGGATGGCCTCAGCCTGAAAAAAAAAACGTCTGGTTTAGATTGAAAGCTTCCACATGTTGAAGCAATTCCTCTTGTAGAAAAGGCTGGGTCTACAGACTGGTTTTCTCCAAGGCCCAGATCCACGATTCATCTGAGTGGGTTGCTGCCAGTGGAACTTGGACTTTTCACAATGTTGGAGGGCCATGAAAAAAATCATCAAGTTCTACTACCTCAGTGGTTAAAAACCTGTAAGGTGTTCTAAAAGGACAATAATCCTAAATCAATAGACTGGTTTGCTTTCATCTCTTAGGATTGCTGGTTTATTTCGGCCCCAGATGGATGTAAACTTTAAAAAAAAAGTTACATCATTCTGAGGATTTTGAATCTAACTTCCAAAAACATTGGCGAGTTTCTAGATGTTGGAGATCAGCCTGTTTTTCAGTGTAGTCCTGTTTATCTGACTGTGACTAACTGGATGTGCTCTCTTCATCCTCTGACATGGGAGCTGGCTCGGAGCTCGTCTGCCTGGCTGTGTGTTTCCTGGACGGGGCCGCCTGTGGAGCTGGTTGACAGTTGCCTTTTGTATCTATGCTTCTTTTTCTATGTCTGCGTCTGTCTCCTTGAACCCCAGTCGGCCTCAGCAGATGGCCGCTCACACTGAGCCTGGTTCTGCTGGAGGTTTCTTCCTGTTAAAAGGGAGTTTTTCCTCTCCACTGTCACTACAAGCATGCTTAGTGTGAGGGATTGCTGAAGAGTCAATGAGTCGACGCAATCAGCTGGTTTTCCTTAGATAGAAAACTCTGAATCAATCTGACTGGATGATCTGGTGAACTGGAAAGTGACCTGAGATGACATGATGTGAATTGGTGCTATAGAAATAAACAGAATAGAACTGTTGTTCTGGTTTATTGATGTATTTATGACTTAAATATAAGCACCCAGGGAAGGACAGTAGAAGATATTGTTTCCATACCAACACATTTCCCTCATGAAGACCTTACCAGAGGAGACAGAATGGGGAGGAAGATGGTGATGGTGGCAGCGTTGCTGGCCACCTCTGTCAGCGTGGTGACGATGATGCAGGCCACTGTGATGGTGGCCAGGACCGGCAGATCCCCCAGAGGGGTCAGCAGCTCCGCCACCCATAGGGACAGGCCTGACTCCTGCACACACACACACACACAAACTCATTCTGCTTTATATAATGAGGACCATGTGTTGACTCCAATTTACTTCCATTGATTTTCGGTCATTTTCAACCCTTTCTATGCCCTAACCATAAAACTAACCATTACCAATGCATACCTAACCTTAACCCAATTGACACATTAGCCCTAAACCTAACCATTAGCAAAAGAGCTTGTTAAGACCACCAAATCGTCCTGACTTTGCAACAATTGGTCCTCAATCTGATGGTGAAATTGAAAAAATGGTCCTCGCTCTAATGGCTAGATAGGTACACACCCACGCACACAACCGCTTAAAGATTAGCTCATCCCTGCTGCTTCTTCTCACTTATAAATTACAGATTAAGCCTGCAGGATAGAAAGACTTCAGCTCCCATCATCACTGTTAAACCGTCCTGTCTGCTGATCTATTCGTTGTTCTGAAATGTTCTTATTCCAGCGAATATTAAAACATTGAATATCCCTCAGGAATCAACAAGCATTATCAGTCATGTGGCTGCAGGAACAAAATCAACCTTCTTTACACAGCCAAGCAGTTAAAACTCATGTGAAAAATACTTCATCATGTTTTAATCCAGTTAAAATCCAAGAAATTACATAAATAAAATAAATAGATATTACATAAATAGAATAAAAAAAAAGCTTTTGGTAAAAAGGCTATTTAGGGTAAAAGTAATAGAATATAATAAAATGAAGAAAAAGTTAAATAGTGTTACTGAAAAATAAAATTTTTAGGCAGAAGAAAAATATTTCACAGGTTTGTGAACAAAGAAACGACTCATTTCCATCTAAGTTGAATAATCGGAGCTGCAGGTGGATTATCTGTTTCCATGATGGAGAAACAAAATATTTTAATGTAAATATTCTTTTAAACATCTCATAGCTGATGCTAACCCTCTGATGGTGTTTCCTGCTGCCTGGTCCGGCTGATAAAGGGAAACTCTCTCTCTGGGAGCTTTCTGGCTGTTTGGCGTCTGTGTTATTTACAGACACACAATAGGCTCAATAAATGCTGGATTAAACCTGGTTTATTTTATTTTTTTTGTTTAAATAAAAACAATAAAAACACAAAAACAAAATAAACTTGCAGTCATGCTCCGTTTCAGACGCACCCAGCTGGGCGGCTTCATTAATGATGTGATTCCTCTCTGACACTGACTAGGACTAACTAAGAAGTTCTAACTAAGCAGATCCTATTTTATTACAACAGGTTAATAATCTATCGTTAATCTGAACTATTCAGCTAACAAACATTTTCTGTAAAAAACGAGAGGAGGGATAATCTACCTTCTCCCTCTCTCCACTTTCTCCTTCCTTTTTCAAACCCAGGCTTTGGGGCGCTGCATTTTCCAGCTGTCGTTTTTACATGCCCTGCTGTTTATTTACACATTTTCTTGTTCATTTGTTTCTTTTGTTCTCACTACATCAAATGATGCCCGGTTTCAGACAAAAGACCTGATGCAGGACCTGAGGACCAAACCATTTATTGCAATTTCATGGAAGGGCTGGGGGGGTCAATAATTATCCAACAGATATTATATTCTCTAACAGAAATAATCTCTTGGATAATGTCTCCCACCGCATGAATGAAGCTGGTGCTGAACTGGAGAGCTCCTTCAGTGACAGACTGCTGCACCCTAAATGCACCATGGTGCGTTATCACAGATCCTTCCTCCCAGCAGCTGGAAGACTCTAGAACCACCACTGTTCCCAACAACAATAAGTTGATCCATTCATGCTGATTTTGCACAATTTCTACCTTAGTCAGTAAAAAAACCTGCTGCTGTCATTCTGCACATCTCTGATGTTGCTGCCATTTTCAAATAACCATTACTGTAAAAATGTCCATAGCTGCATATTGGTTATTTATTCTCCAGGTGCACAGTTTGATATTATTAAAATGCTGTACAGAATTTTATTGTTTATCTTTTAACTCTTAACTATTTTGTTTTTCTTATAAAATTTTTCTAAGGTCCACATTTGTGTGACCATTTTCTTCTATAATAGTTTTGCTGCTGTAAACACTAGAATTACCCCAACGGTGACAATAAAGGGATTTTCTATTCCATTCTACTCTAAACCTCCGATTGCTCTTCTTCCTTGTCGTAAATATATCTATCATAGATCTGCTTCGATCCATGATGGATATTTCCAGCTCTAAGACAATCTGGTCCTTCTGGTCCACTACTTCTCCGGACTACAGAGATACCAAACAGACCATGATATCTCCAACATAGGCCTCCTTGACGTCCAATCGCTCCCTGGCAAAGGAGACCTCTTGTAGGTATCCGTGCTGACTGTAATATTGGACGTTTTCCTTCCTTTCTGAAACTTAATTGTAATAAATTTCATTTGTGAAAAAACATTTTTTTTTGTGAAAAAGTTTCTTTCCTCTTTTTGCCAAACTTTTTCCAGTTTTCCACTCTCACATTCCAGTGCGTAATATTTACAGCGACTGGCATATCGCTGCTTGTCATCTATCTTCTTTTTTGCCAGAAGCTGTTTTTCACTGTTAGATGTTTTGGTAAGAAGCTAGACTCATTTAGTTTAAGATTATTACACCAATCCTTTTGTTTGTGAAAGAATATCTATTGTTTGGATTCAAATCCTGTTTATATTTTGGTTGTTAAGTATTCTTAAGGGTTAATAAATGCTGCTTGAATGAATACCATCCAATCAGAGCTCTATATGACTGAGATTTCAGATATCCTCCCTGATAGCGCTCTATCCTCTGCGCCTCATATCACTAATATCACTTGGTCTATATATTTCCATCTGTACCATGTTAAAAGTCGTCTGCCTTGTTTACAGTCTTTTCACTTCCTGTATTGACCATTGCTTCCCTCCTGATTGGTCTCCTGCTAAACGTTCTTCATGTGCAGCAAAGATAATTATTATATTAACCAATAGGCTGATACCAGTACATGTTCTGTTTTACTGAGATCCAGACATATCATGGTGAATATATGTGGCTTTAGAGTCACTTAAAAATGATGTAAACAACCTCTGCTCCTCCAGCGAGTGCAAATCCTCCCCCCACCAGCAGGGCCACCCTCCACGGCATGGAGGCTTGAAATTCCTCCCAGGATATCAGGGCCTCTGTGTTAAGAGAAAAAGGTTTCGTTTTATACAGTAAATACAACATAGTCAGAGTATTAGGGCCAGACTAGAGATTTTTAATTTTTACAATAAAGTTATAATATTATGAGAATAAAGTGCTTCTTGTAAGAGTTGTCATAAAATATAACTTGTTTCTCATAATTTTACGGCTTTAGTCACGAATAAAAAAAAAAAAATCTCTAGCCTGGCCCTAATACTCCGTAAAAGTCAAAGTTTTTGATATCTGAATCAATAACAATTATCTATTAGCATAATTAATGGCTACTTTGTTATTATTTTAAAATAAAACGTTTAATTGTTAATATACTACCAATATACTAATATACTATAATAATACTTAATTTCAGTTCAGTTTGATACTTTGTTTTATCACACCCTGTATCTGAGTGAAACTTGCTCTCTGTAGTGGTGCCACATCACATGGTTGAAGACTCTGTGATTCTATTGGCTAAACAGCAGTGCAGGGTGACAGTGGCGTTGGATGTAGGAGTTTGCCCTGAAATCGAAGGATTGACATAGACACTAGGTGGTGCTAAAGCACTAGGAAGTTTGCCCTTTATCAACGAAAATGCCCTTTGAAACTCGTTTTTTTTTATTTTTTTGTTTTATTATTAATAAATAATAATAATAAAAATTATATATATATATATATAGCCAAGAGCCAACCAAGGACCAGCCAAGGGCCAACCAAGGACCAGCCAAGGGCCAACCAAGGACCAGCCAAGGGCCAACCAAGGATCAGCCAAGGGCCAACCAAGGATCAGCCAAGGACCAGCCAAGAGCCAACCAAGGACCAGCCAAGGGCCAACCAAGGACCAGCCAAGAGCCAACCAAGGACCAACCAAGGGCCAACCAAGGACCAGCCAAGAGCCAACCAAGGACCAACCAAGGACCAGCCAAGGAAATTGGGGAAATTTTGAATGGCTACTACTGTATTAGAGTCAGGCATGTTGAAGCAGAGACACGTCTAAAGGTTGATGAACACAGACCCTCAAGGCATTGAAACAAGACAGACAGACAATCTAAATCATGTTTTTATCTCGTCAGGAAGTGCTGTTACCGTATTTTCTGTCAGGTCCGTAGGCAGGGACGATAAAAAACACGAGGCCCAGCATCAAAGCCACAGTAGCATCAGTGATGAAGCCGGGGTGGCTGTCAGAGTGAAGGAAGGAGAAATGAATGGTGGCAGATTTTATTTTGGATTCAAACTTTTCTCTTTTTTCTTGAAGATTTTTTAACTCTTCTCTATAGTTCTGAGCAGGGTTGGAGGAGCAGGAGAGAAACAGTATTTCTACCAATCCCACTGAACTTTGTCCACTGAGGCAGAAGGACCAGTAGGTCAGGGTGTCCTAATTACCCAGTTAGTTACTTTAACTGCCCTAAATTAAAATCAGTTTGGTTTTTTTTCTAAAGCGCCAATTCACATCATGTCATCTCAAGGCACTTTACAGTTCACCAGATATTCCAGTCAGATTGATTCAATGTTTTCTATCTAAAGCTCCTGTCACACCTTGATGATTTATACATACAGCATGCTAAAAATTACATCATCAGTTCCAGGTCAGTTATCTGATGGTTTACATACGTTCAGTGTCAGTTCCTCATCAGTCGTGGCGTCTAGCTTATCCTAAACTTCTGAGTAACTTTTGCATAACTTCTGCGTAACTTATCAAGAACTTCTCTCAAACTCATATCAAGGTATCTGACGTGTTCCAGACGAGCGCTGAACGTGTTTCTAACTTCCAGCTACTGTATAATGGCGTATTGGCAGTGATTTGGTATAAAGGGGGTTCACAGGAGGAAACCGTCAGTTTTCCTCCAGACTTCATCCCCATCATAGGGTGAGCCAGAAGGTGAGGGTGATGGATCCTCCCTGCGTTCATGCCCACCAAACTTCTTAGCAGACATGACGCTCAATCTGCTGCCACCAAAAAACTTCTTTCTTTCTTTTTTTTTTTATTTATTCTATTTTTTCTTTTTGTTATTTAGCATGCTGTGAACAGCAGCAAGGTTAATACGGCGATCAAAGAATCTTTTCCTGCAGGTCTAGTGCCTCCGGGCGCATTGCCCCCATAGGCGGATCTACTGGGGTGGCATAGGGTGGCAAATGCCTCCCTAAATGACAGCCTTGCCACCCCTGCTGCCACCCCAGTTGGCTGTAGGGGTGGCGAGGCTTATAAATTATGGATCATTTGAGAATTACCGACCGCTAATTTCCAATGTCGGACTGCAGAGAATGCAGCATGAGGTGACACGAGAGTGACTGAGACTGATTAGTTTTGAAAACCAAATGGGGCAAAGCGAGGGAGCCAGGGGTCATGGGGAGAGGAGACACGGGATTTCTCTATCGAGAAATTAAATCATAATGAAAGCACAATGTTGCTAGCATAGCTGCAATGCTGATTTTGAGATGATAAAAATCAGGTTGCAGAACGTTATTTCTCTATCTATGATGTTAGTTAGGCCTGATGTCTCAGGCTCAAAGACATATTTGCGGTCAACTATGACTGAAAGGTTTGGTTGTACTCAAATCAAAGCACACAAAGGCATTGGATCTCAATAAAGTTGTGAAGCGTTTTGCTGAGCAACATGGAAATCACTGCATTCAGCTGTTATAGTCATGTTAACTTTATGTTATGCTCTCTGGTGAGCCTTTGCAGAGATCTTACATTTTTTTTGGCACCTGAGAAAATCTGATATTTCCTTTAATAAAACAAAAAGTGTTAAAAGTAAAGTTAAAAACGTGATACTGGTGTAAATCCTGCTTAATATGAAGCAGTATTGTTTCTTTTTTTTGTATATATAGTATGAAACTTCCTGCCCCCCTCTCGCCACCCCATAAATATTTTTCTTGATCCTCCCCTGATTGCCCCCCCCCTCAGGACACTGGTGTGTGCATCATTTTTGATGGGCATTATGCTGCCGTGCATTATGAAGAAGTTAGGCTGTCGTTGGACAGAAGTTCTGGACTCGTTATGAATACTCTATATACACTATATTGCCAAAAGTATTTGCTCACCTGCCTTGACTCACATATGAGCTTAAGTGACATCCCGTTCCTAATCCATAGGGTTCAATATGACGTCGGTCCACCCTTTGCAGCTAGAACAGCTTCAACTCTTCTGGGAAGGCTGTCCACAAGGTTTAGGAGTGTGTTTATGGGAATTTTTGACCATTCTTCCAGAAGCGCATTTGTGAGGTCGCACACTGATGTTGGACGAGAAGGCCTGGCTCTCAGTCTCCGCTCTAATTCATCCCAAAGGTGTTCTATCGGGTTGAGGTCAGGACTCTGTGCAGGCCAGTCAAGTTCATCCACACCAGACTCTGTCATCCATGTCTTTATGGACCTTGCTTTGTGCACTGGTGCACAGTCATGTTGGAAGAGGAAGGGGCCAGCTCCAAACTGTTCCCACAAAGTTGGGAGCATGGAATTGTCCAAAATGTCTTGGTATGCTGAAGCATTCAGAGTTCCTTTCACTGGAAGTAAGGGGCCAAGCCCAGCTCCTGAAAAACAACCCCACACCATAATCCCCCCTCCACCAAACTTTACACTTGGCACAATGCAGTCAGACAAGTACCGTTCTCCTGGCAACCGCCAAACCCAGACCCGTCCATCAGATTGCCAGATGGAGAAGCGCGATTCGTCACTCCAGAGAACGCGTCTCCACTGCTCTAGAGTCCAGTGGCGGCGTGCTTTACACCACCGCATCCGACGCTTTGCATTGCACTTGGTGATGTATGGCTTGGATGCAGCTGCTCGACCATGGAAACCCATTCCATGAAGCTCTCTGCGCACTGTTCTTGAGCTAATCTGAAGGCCACATGAAGTTTGGAGGTCTGTAGTGATTGACTCTGCAGAAAGTTGGCGACCTCTTCGCACTATGCGCGTCAGCATCCGCTGACCCCGCTCCGTCAGTTTACGTGGCCTACCACTTCGTGGCTGAGTTGCTGTCGTTCCCAAACACTTCCATTTTCTTATAATACAGCTGACAGTTGACTGTGGAATATTTAGGAGCGAGGAAATTTCACGACTGGATTTGTTGCACAGGTGGCATCCTATCACAGTTCCACGCTGGAATTCACTGAGCTCCTGAGAGCGACCCATTCTTTCACAAATGTTTGTAAAAACAGTCTGCATGCCTAGGTGCTTGAATTTATACACCTGTGGCCATGGAAGTGATTGGAACACCTGATTCCAATAATTTGGATGGGTGAGCAAATACTTTTGGCAATATAGTGTATACGCCCAGAATGGAATAAATACATAGAAAGTTCAGCATATGCCAGCGTTTTAGGAGATTCTGGGGCTTCAGGCAAACACTGGATAAATCAGCAAGGTGTGACAGGGGCCTCAGGAAAACTAGTTAATTGCATTGACTCTTCAGCAATCCCTCAAACTAAGCATGCTTGTAGAGAGGAAAAACTCCCTTTGAACAGGAAGAAACCTCCAGCAGAACCAGGCTCATGTGAGCGGCCAGCCGCTGATGCCGACTGGGCCGTCTTGAAATTAGTCAGATTACTAATCCCTAAATAAGGGATTGCTGCTCTTACTACCCATTCTGACCTGGTTATATCCAATAATGTTCAGAACAAGGACACCTCTGGATGGAGGTGAGTTGTCTTCAATTTCTGGATAAGGTTTAACAGCCGTGTGAAAAATTCACTCACTGGGGGAAGAGAGACGCCCAGCCTGGCATGAAACCTGGAGATCTGGTCAACCACAGAAGCACCATGAGCAGGAACACCAAGCCGGTAAAGATCTCCTGAGGCCTGGATAAAATGGCCGAAACACATCGGATTGATTCACAGCCAAAGATACACAGGATGAAGGAAGGAAGGAAGGAAGGAAGGAAGGAAGGAAGGAAGGAAGGAAGGAAGGAAGGAAGGAAGGAAGGAAGGAAGGAAGGAAGGAAGGAAGGAAGGAAGGAAGGAAGGAAGGAAGGAAGAGGGAATGAATAAATGGATGAATGAATGGAGGAGTGAATGAATGACTAAAGGAGTAATGAATGAATAATTGAAGAAAGGAAGGAATGACTGAAAGAGTGAATGAATGAATAGTGAATGAATAAGGGAGGAGTGAATGACTGAAGGAAGGAAGGAATGAATGACTAAAGGAGTAAATGAATGAATGAATGAAGATGTGAATGAATAAAGGAATGCAGGAGTGAATGAATGAAAGATTGAATGAAAGAAGGAAGGGAGGAGTGCATGAATGAAGGAGTGAATGAATTAATGAACAATTGAATGAATGAATGATCACCTCATGGCTCCCAGGGACCTGTACTCCTCCTCTATAACCCTTTGTGCTGCCTCCTCCTTCTGGGAGCGCTCTCCTTTGCAGCGCCACAGGAAGCTGAAGCTGTCCAGATGATGGGCAGATGTTTACTGGGAGAGAAGCAGAAAGGCGCCTCTCTGTCTCTAAAGTCTATCCTCCATGCTAAGGTTCGATCTATCTGAGTTATCTACAGCCTAATGTGTAATGAGTTGGTAAAAGTAGAAGATTCAACAAAATAAATCATAAGCATTGATGACTGATGATAATGAAATATCTCTCTGTGGACAGATGCTCTCACTGATGTTCTTTGATGCATCTAATTTAGATAGACTTCAGTTTAGCAGAGCCGCTTTTCCTAACAAGCCTCCTTCAGTTCTTCTCATTTAGAAGCCCTTCTGTGAAGCTGTGGCATCATTGAAAGGAAATTGGCTGATCAGTAACATGTTGACTCGTGTTGATGGCAGCGTCCTTTATTATCTGATGAACAGGGACCTCAGAAGCGCATTAGCTCTGCAGCCTGCCAGGTTCTCATGAGGGACATAGAGTTTATTAATGGCCTCCCGTTCTCCATCCATCATGAATCAGAAATCTCTAAGAATGATGTCATCAACAAGTGTTGAGTGGGACTGCAGGAAGACTGGTTCATCGTCTCCCCGCCCAGATTTCCTAAGGAATTCTCTGATAAACCCTGATTGGTGGGCTGAGAGCGGCGGTTGGTCCCCAGTGGTTGAACCAGGAACTGTTGGGTGTGGATTGAAAAGCTTCTCCACCTTCACAGCCAACAAGCTTCATTTCCCTCAGAAATGTTGCATCATTTAAAGAATATAAACAAGCTTTTTAGACCTGTGTCAAGTGGAAACCCGCTGCAGATACATAATAGAAAAAGTTATGCAATCAAAACCATTGAATAACTCAAAAACACACAGACCTCAAATCACAAACACAGCAGCATTTAACTGCTGCAGTCAGAAGATGGAGAAGGGCAAAGTGAAAATGATTCTGCAGACGCAGGAATGATGCTGCAACTAATCCAATCTTTGTACTTATAGCACGTTTGCCCCCCTCAGCCACTATATACAGACGTGTTGCATTATACAAGCAAAACATGACTCTTAGTTTCCCCTTTTATTTTTTAGTCATCCAGACTCTTTTTTTCCTGTTTGAAATGTTTCAGATGTCAGGTTTAGGTTGACCACAACAATCCAGGGACACCAGATATCCAGAAATGATTAAACATAGAAAATCAACCTACTATTTAATTTATTTTTTTTATTTTTTAGGTGAAATAAATTCACCTTAAATGTTTAAATCATTGAGAATGAAAGTTGTTGTGATTCACAGGACAGAGCAGATAAACATGCATGGAATGGCTGACACTCACTCTGAGCCCAGGAACAGCCAGTAAAGCCACACCCATGTGAGCAGGAGCATGATGAGACTGATGGGAAGGCACATCAGCAGCCAGTTCCCAAAGTTGATGGCATTGCATTCTGGGTAAATCCTTAGAGTGAAGACAGGTGGACGGTTTGAATGCAAACAAAGATCAGAGTGATGGTGATTGCTGTCCAAACACTGATTCATATCCACAGACTATCAGTCTGTTTTTGTGTCTCATTTCCAAAGCATGAATGATGTAGATAGAAAGTTAGCCACCCACTGATTGAGATACTCAGAGAAGATGAGGTTGGGAGAGGTTCCTGGCAGCGTGCTGATGCCACCGATGTTGGAGGAGTAGGTGATGCCGAGGCACATGGCTTTGCACAACATTAGGTCCTGTTTATTCCCGCTGACGGCGGCTGGAACGCACGCTGTAGCCTGCAGGATGACAAAGCAGAGAAATGAACCCTGGGAGGGAGCCATCTGCAGCACAATCACAAACATTTCACCCCCTACAGCTTTTTTCATCTTTTACCTTCTGGTCTTCCTGAAATATTTCAGATCAAACCAGTTTTGATACAAAAGAAGAGGATTTTCAGAGCAGACTGTGTAAAAGTAATCGCACCCCGTCCCACTTTGCTCTAAAGACCCGTTGAATTTCAGCCAATGGGAGGCTTTAAAGAACGAAACAACACATTCAATCAGAGGCAGACTCGCTGCTGCAGGACCCTATGATGGCTTCTCCTGACCATAATGCCACCACCACCGTGGAACATCGGACATTAATGTGTCCAGTGGCAGCTGGCTAATAGATGGCGCTAGGGTGCCGCTCCACCAGCACAATGACCTTGATTAAGAAAAAAAAAAAAAAGAAAGTTAAATAATAACATTTATATTTTATAATTTATATTTATAAAATATATTTCAAACTATATTTATATATATTTTTTAAATTTGCAATATAAATATTTAACCTTTAAATCCTAAAATGCTTCCTTTCATTTTTGGCCAGATTGGTGACGTATTTCTGCTCTGAGGCGGGTAAAGAAGAGCTCAGCGCGTATGAAGCCATATTTATGGAGCGATATTTGTGCCTTTGGGGCGACAGTGGCGTTGGATGTAGGAGTTTGCCCTGAAATCAAAGGGTTGACGGTTCAAAACCCGGCTCTGACTTTCAGTGTCTTTGTGTCCTTGGGCAAGACACTTCACCTGCATTGTCTGCTGATGGTGATCAGAGGGCCTGGTGGCGCCAGTGTACGGCAGCCCCGCTTCTGTCAGTGAGCCCCAGGGCAGCTGTGGCTACAATGTAGCTTTCCACCATCAGTGTGTGGGTGAATGAATGTAGTGTAAAGTCTCCTGACTTGAATAAAGGCATTATATAAGTACATGCCATTTACCTTCTGTGTGAGCACGCAGTGAGACAACACGCACCTGCTCAAAAACGGTCTGGCAAGCGCTCAACTCTTCTTAGCCCACTGTCCTTGACCTCAGTTCCATCTCTGCACGCGCTCCACATGCTCTTTCCACTCTCAACACCAGCTGTGCGCTTGGCTCTGTCTCTACGCTTGTGACTTCATAAATGTATGTAAATGAACCACACCGTCAGCCAGTCACACTCAGATTTTTTCATCCAATCAGTAGTCCAAAGACAGATGCAGACGGTTCACTGTGTGTTTTTCCAGGCCTGGTTTAGCTCCAAGGCTAGGCTACCTGCATGCAGTGAGGCTTTATCTGCCTCCCTGTCTCTTTTTTCAAAGGTCAGGATCTGAGCCAGCATGGATAAAGACAGCTAGGACTGATTTAAAGCACTTTTTAGAAAAGGCAAAGAAGAATGAACAATCTGGGAATCACATGGAAAATAATAGAATATATTCTATTTTTTCTACATGTTTGTTCATTTGCATAGTTGGTCTTAAGCAAACACATTCTCAGAAAATAGTTTTTTTATATTAAAAAATTCTAAAGCTGACTGATAGTTTCTCCATTATTAAACAGGTTAATATTTTTTTTAGGTTTGTGACACAATATTGGACCATGGAAACACAGATTTACCTTCACAAAGCCTCAGAAGGGCAAGATTTATGTACAAAAAGTAAACCTGGACATGAAATTATGTTTTGTTTTTATAAGGTGTTTGTAAAATGTTTTTTGTTGGCATTCCTATATACTGGTGTGATAACTTAGTATATGTTGGATTGGTTTTTGGTATATGTCTACTTTGATTTTATAGCCCCCCTTGAAGAAATCTGAACCTCCTGCGCCTTGTTTTGTCTGTATCCCTTTATATATATATATATATATATATATATATATATATATATATATATATATATATATATATATATATATATATATATATATATATATATATATATATATATATATATATAATTTTTAAGTATTGTTGATAGAAGTCCTGAGCTGCATTTCTTTGTTTCACACACTGAGGAAAAAAAAGTTGGAGGTAGGAGAATTTAAGGACTTATTATTTTCTTGTAGAATTCTGATTAAGCTGATAAAGGGAAGCTAGCAGATCTAAACATTGTTGATGAAGCAGCTAAGGATAGGAGGTAGGAGGTAGGAGGTAGGAGGCATTAACAGCATCTCAGAGCCCTGATTGAAATGAGCAGATGTGCCTGCAGGGGGCAGCAGTATCTGCTGTCAGCAGTAAACCAGAACGCTCCCAGTTTGCTGCACTGATTATTGCTTTAAAACTTCAGGGATAAAATGAGTTTGTTCTGCAAAAAGCAAAGAGAGGAGATGCTGCTGAAACTATGGAAACAGCTGCAGGACTAAAAACGGCAGAAAGACACTTGGCTTGTTGATCCCATTGTTATAAAAGCACAGATTATGACCATTCTGCTGTTAATCAGCATCTCCTGCCTCCTGTGAGGTGATTATCTGAACAAAGCAGAAATGATGAATAACACAGAATCATGATGAGAAGGAGGGGAAGGAAGAGGAGGAGCTGTGGCATGACTGAGGATTCAGACCTGAGCTGGGTCAATATGTGGTTGAACCTCAACGCCGCTGAGATCTTCTGATGGAACATCTGGTTTCTTGTCGTTGCTGTGGAGCAGAAAAGCTTCAGTCAGATCTGGAGGTGGAGGAACTGGACCTCCTGATGGTTCAGGAGAACAAAAGCTGCACACCTTACAGTCTCCTTCACTGTGTGGGAGCTGATGCTGGTTTCTGCAAAAAGAGAAGATGATGTTGATGATGAAGATTGGTGCCGTCGTGTTCCCGTCCCAGGAGGTGGAGAGGAGATCACTCTGACAGGAAGCAGGAGCTGCTTAGGCTCCCAGACCAGAACACAGCCTCCTCCTGAGGTCATTTTCTCAGCCTTTTTACGGATGGTTGAAAGATTCAGTTTATAATTTAGTTTCCTGCTGGAGGTTCAGGTTTCATCCTGACAGCATCAATCAGGTTAGAAGTCACTGATGGTGAGCTCCTATTAGACGGATCATTTGGTTTGAACCAATCATCTCAAATGTTCTTGTTATTTAGGGAAATTAAAACAAAGTGCAGACGTTCTACAGTAACGACTCCAGAAATCAAAAGGCCCTGACCTGAAATGCTGATTATTTGGGATTCAGATTGACTGGAAAGGATCACATGAAGCACAAAGCATTTCAGCATTGAGAACATCAGCCATGAGGGCAGAGATGCTGGGACCATCCCATAAAGTAAAAGACTCCAGCAACCTTTACTTCTAGAACCAAGACTAATGTTGAAAACTCGTTTGGCTTTAAAGGAAAAGCCAAAATGGAAAATATTCAGAACAACTGAAAAAAAAGGGTGAGCTTTTGTTGTAAATTCCTACATCATGTTAAGCTGAGCAAACAGTTATGGACGCGCCCAAACATGGAGGCTGAGAGCTTCAGATCACCATGGAGACGTTGTCTCTGGTTATTGCACATAAACGCTTGGCACTCCTGTAAAGCAGTAAATCTGAATGATGGATTTTCCTCCACAGACTGAAGACACCAAGAGTCTGTGTCTCTCTGAAGGACATCAGTTACCATCCAGCTGCAGGTTCGGGTTCACATTGCCGCCACATCCCAACTCCTTGGCCTTTAGGATCTGCTGGAGGACAGCTTCTACAATGGGCATCACCATGGCAACCGCTGAAGTGTTTTGAACCCACATCGACAGGAGGGCACAGCCAGACATGAAGCCCAGCATCAGCCTGGAGGAGACAGCATGAGAACAATCAGCTGCATGGAGACACTTTGATTTGCTCCAATACAGCAGGCATCCCCAAAGTCGGCCCTCAGGGGCCGCCGTCCTGCAGCTTTTAGAGGTTTTCCTGCTCCAGCAGAGCTGATTTCCACTGATATTTGATTAGCAGCCTTTAGCTAAACTCCAATCATCAGAATCAGCCGTGCTAAAGCAGAGAAACCTCTCTCATCATCACAGCACAGGATCAGATCCGCTAACCTGTTTGGTTAAACTAATAACCTGCCTGCCGTCTGATAAATGGCCGTAAACTGAAAATGATGTTCTAATCCAGGAAGATGATGATAAATATTATGTATGATTAACTCCAAGTTTCACATAGTGAAACAAAAAAATTAAAAAAAGATTCAATAAGAGTCAAAAAACAATAATAAAACCCATAAAAAATCAGCTCCTCATGGGCAGAAATGGAGCCTCTCAGATTATCAGCAGATTCACCTGAACCAGCTCTAAAACATTAAGCCCCAACAGCAGAGGCAGCTAATCCGGGTCCAGTAGGTAAAATTCCTGAACAGGGATCAGTTCCGACCGTCTGAACATCAGGCTCTATGGCTCAGACTGGGAGCCAATCAGCTGCTTATCTGAGCAGGATGAGGGAAACTATGCAGGGCTTTGCTTCCTAGACTGGGCTCAGCCCAGTTTCAAGAGGGAAAGATTTACGTTAAATATCCTCCATGCCATACTGAGAGCAGAACGTTTCCTGTTTAAAACACAGAGACCAAATGCAGGCAGTCTGATTATCGACTGCATCCTTTCATGCTGTTTTATTTAGTCTTTAACTGAAGTTTGTATAATTTTTGATGCATTTTTATCAGTTTAAACTTCTGCAGTTTTCAATCTCTCTACTGCATTTTGTTGACTAAAAACTAAAAAGAGTTTATTCAGATCTGAAATTTGTGACCACAGTAATGCTTCTGAAATGATGACATCCTTCCTACTGAAATGCAGCAGCCATGCCAGCGGTGCTCACCATGCAGGGTTCACCCCCACCATGGAGACAAGCTTCAGCGCTATCCGGCGGTGAAGGCCCCACTTCTCAATGGACGTGGCGAGGCAGATGACCCCCACTAATAGGAAGTGAAAGTCTTTGAAGTACTCCTTCGCCACCTTAAAGCAACATGGGAGGTTTTATTCATAGAACTCGATCAACATATTAAGCATTGATGCATCGTATCACAATAAAACACCAAAGGATTTCTTTATATTTATCTGGTTTGGTTTCCAAACTAAACAGACAATTCATCTCTGTCATTGTTTACTATAAAAAGTGGAGGCTACCTTCCCGAGAGCTAGAGGGCGCTAACCACTGACATTCAACACCTCTATAGAAGTCTGTTTGTTTCCACAGGGCTGGGATGGAAAGGCAGGAATCTGCTGTTGATCATGTGAAATGGAGATACTTTCTAAACATCTTTCCATAGAGGGAAAGATCCTCCACAGCTTGAAGATGTTCAGAGCAGCTACAGGTCTTCAGAATTGACATTCATCCAGGAACTCCACCTGTGGCTCTGCAGGCCCCTAATTGATGCTTTCAACTCCATGGCAACACAGAAAGACTATGTTTGATATTGGCTGGGTTGCTATGGGAAACCTTCCTCTTTAAAAACAATCATCCAGCATCTCTTTAGTGTGAAAAATTGCATAAAAATAAAACAAAGGACGTCTGGAACAACGTCTCTCCAATAGATGAGACCAGATCAGGGAAATTGGGTCATCAGACACAGAGAAAACAAACTGATTTTGGCAACTGTCCCGCAGGATGGTGGAAGAATTATGGCATGGGCTGGATTGGCATTATCAGGGATGTTCATGGCAGGGAATGAGTGAAACAGAAAGGCTATTGTCAGGTTGGTGGATGTTGTAGTGGACCCAAATGCAGAGCCGAAGAGGCAGAGATGATTACTTGCAAAGTGAGTGAAAATACAGAATCCATAGTGAAGAACCGACCGACAAGAAACTCAGGAACCTAAAAACTAAGAGAGACTAGGGAGGAATAAACCTAAAGAATAATGAGGATCCAGGAAGTGAATAGTAGGTGAATATATGGGAGATAGAAACAATAGGGGGACTGATTAGCTAATAGGGAGCAGATGTGGATAGAAGGATCTAGAATGAGCTAAGGGGAAAGGAAAGGTTACTAGGGAGCAGCAGAGAACAACCAGGGAGAAACAAAAGGATCTAATAACTGTAGTAAGGCTAAAGGGGAATACAACTAATGACTATAAAATAAGAAATGACCGAGGAGAAAACTAGACGATTAGAGGAGGGACTGGAGATAACTGAAGCCATGGAAAACCTGACCTAAAGATAAATAACTTAAACTAGACCAAGAAACAAATAATATAAAAAAAGGTTAAAGAAAAGAGATAAACACACTGCAAAAAATAGAAATCTCAATAAGTTATTTTTTCTTAAAATAAGTGTGTTTTTCCTTGATTTGAGGAGGTAAGTAAGACACTTTGCCAATGGAACCAGACAATTTCCTTTTAAAATAAGAAAAAACTATTTTATCGTCTTATTTCAAGTAAATATTATCTAACTATCTTATTTTAAGAGTATAAATACTCATTCCATTGGCAAATCATCTTATTTACCTGCTCAAATTAAGGCTAAATATACTTAATTTAAGCCATTTTTTACTTATTTCTGGATTGTTTTTGCAGTGCAGCAAAACTAAAAATACAAAAATAAACTAAATCTAGAGAGCAACACAAAATAAAACAAAGCAAACTGGAGAACCAAAAAAATTAAAATTTCAACAGAAAAAAAAGGTCCAGAAAATTAGATCATAACAGTGATCTTCTGGCGCCACTTCCGCCACAAGGAGACGAAGGAGCAAACCGATGAGGTGAAAACTGAAATTACAGACCAAAGTTTGGGCTTCTGAACTTCTCCAGGGTCATTAAAATTACATGACGACACATCCAGCAACTGGCCAATAAGCATACAGCAGGGAAATATTACTTCCTGACTGCTTAAAGCAGCGCCTCAGACGACTGGAAAACATGCTTAGAGCTGATGGATGATTAAAGGGTGACTCTATTCCAGTTCCTCCATCAGGACTGAAACTCCAACCTTGTCAGTTTTCAGATTGACTCACGTTGGATGACTTCATGATGCCGAAGGAGGGGAAGAGGATGGCGGGAAGCATGGCGGTCATGGACAAAGGGATCACCTCTGTCACCCAGTACACGGCCATGAGCAGCAGCACAAAGGCACATTGTGCTTCCTAAACGGCAAAAACACACAATTACCCACTTTTTACTCACCTTTAGGAAAATAGAGGGATGCCTCTCAAACATCCAGGGACTGTAGAGTTTAAGCTATGGTTGGCGCTGAAGGCCTGAGCCTTACTGGGATTTCATGTCGGACGTAGATCTAAATATTAAAATTCATTTTCTCTTTATTCTTGTTCATTTGATGAGCGAATAGATTCGCTCTTCTAGGTGGTCCATCTTCACCAGTCATTTTCCACAATGGCGGTCATACAAACAAAACAAGCCGGTAAGGTACCGAACAGGAAATACGCATAGTGTAGAGCGGATGGAGATCTGACCAATCAGATGCCTCCTGTCTGCGGCCACCTACAGTTTGGGAAAGGAGCAGCAGAGTGTCTGCGGAAGGGGTGGGGGGTGGGGGTGGACATATCTGCATTAACTGTGACAAGCACACACCACCTGTTTTCAGAGTATAAATGAGCCTTTATTTGTTTTTGAGGCTGAAGGCCTACTGGATTTAGCTCCTTTCCTATCCTGAATGTTTTACTGTTGACCCAATGAAAGGTGATGGAACAGGAACAATAATTTCAGATAATTTCAGGTTTTGGGATTAAGCCCAAGATTTGGCCTCAGAGAATCCAGGGAGGAGTTAAATATGAGGTGGATGGGAAGAAGGAGGCCTTCCAACCAAAAGACCAGAACTAGAAAAAAGGGATGTGGCTCCTGTAGAGATAGTTTGTTTGATTATTATAAAATGTTCATCATAAAATACACTCACCAGCCACTTTATTAGGTACACCTGTCCAACTGCTCGTTAACACTTAATTTCTAAGCAGCCAATCACGTGGCGGTAACTCAGTGCCTTTAGGCATGTAGACATGGTCAAGACAATCTCCTGCAGTTCAAACCGAGCATCAGTATGGGGAAGAAAGGTGATTTGAGTGACTTTGAACGTGGCATGATTGTTGGTGCCAGAAGGGCTGGTCTGAGTATTTCAGAAACTGTTGATCTACTGGGATTTTCACGCACAACCATCTCTAGGGTTTACAGAGAATGGTCTGAAAAAGAAAAATTATCCAGTGAGCGGCAGTTCTGTGGGCGGAAATGCCTTGTTGTTGCCAGAGGTCAGAGGAGAATGGCCAGACTGGTTCGAGCTGATAGAAGGGCAACAGTGACTCAAATAACCACCCGTTACAACCAAGGTGGGCAGAAGAGCATCTCTGAACGCACAGTACGTCGAACTTTGAGGCAGATGGGCTACAGCAGCAGAAGACCACACCGGGTGCCACTCCTTTCAGCTAAGAACAGGAAACTGAGGCTACAATTTGCACAAACTCATCGAAATTGGACAATAGAAGATTGGAAAAACCTTGCCTGGTCTGATGAGTCTCGATTTCTGCTGCGACATTCGGATGGTAGGGTCAGAATTTGGCGTCTACAACATGAAAGCATGGATCCATCCTGCCTTGTATCAACGGTTCAGGCTGGTGGTGGTGGTGTCATGGTGTGGGGAATATTTTCTTGGCACTCTTTGGGCCCCTTGGTACCAATTGAGCATCCTTGCAATGCCACAGCCTACCTGAGTATTGTTGCTGACCATGTCCATCCCTTTATGACCACAAAGTACCCAACTTCTGATGGCTACTTTCAGCAGGATAATGCGCCATGTCATAAAGCTGGAATCATCTCAGACTGGTTTCTTGAACATGACAATGAGTTCACTGTACTCAAATGGCCTCCACAGTCACCAGATCTCAATCCAATAGAGCATCTTTGGGATGTGATGGAACGGGAGATTCGCATCATGGATGTGCAGCCGACAAATCTGCGGCAACTGTGTGATGCCATCATGTCAATATGGACCAAACTCCCTGAGGAATGCTTCCAGCACCTTGCTGAATCTATGCCACGAAGAATTGAGGCAGTTCTGAAGGCAAAAGGGGCTCCAACACGTTACCAGCATGGGGTACCTAATAAAGTGGCCGGTGAGTGTAGTTTCTCATTCCTAAAATTAATAATGTGCTTTCAGAGTCCTATATTGTCTATTGAGTGTTCTATTCTTCATTTTCTAGAAACAAACATATGAAATAAAAAAAACTCCCAGCAGCATGAATCTTAAAAAAAAAAAAAAGTTCACCTTAGTTCTGCTGACCAGAGGGAGAGGAAGGAGCAGCAGCGGGGTGAGGACAATGAGGACGGTGCTGCGATAGGTCCACAGCGCTGTTCTAACTCTCCTCAGCATTATCTCTCCTCTTCGTGTCGAGGTTCTTGTTTTACTCTGAAACAATAGGGGATGATGAAAGTCAGGTTGACCTGAAAACGCTGCAGGGATCAGAGTCTGCAGCCATTTTGACTGTTATTCTTCAGCAATCCCTTTAAAGCTCAGTAATTGGTGCCTATCCTTACAGCAACATAAAGTAATCATCATTATGACAAAGCATTTCCTTTATGGCACTCAAGAGTTACATTTACTGCCTTTGGGGTAAAATAATCCAAAAACGAGTCACAGATTAAGTTTAATCTTTTTGATGAAAGGATGTTAAATTTTGTTGAGTTTCCTTTAACCTCTTAATATCCACCTCATTTGTGGGAAGCTCACCTATTTTGCATACGCAAATGGAAAAGCAAATAACTGAGGAACTGTAAGCCCAAATTACATGTGTGATACGTTATTTGAAAGCTAACGCCTTCTAGTTTCTGAATATATACATGAAAACTGGGTGAGTAAAACACAGCCCAAGCTGCATCAGTTCAAACAAGACTCAAAGTTGTTTTTTTTATTCTTGAAAATAGTAAATCTTTTTTGAACAGCAGTAATAAAGACATGTTTGCTTATTGTGGCTGCTTTGTCATGCTACATTTTAACATGCTGCTATAATTGTGCTTTGGTGCTCGCTGTGTTCATAAAATGAACTTGGTGTTGTAATTGCGGAGAATCTAAGCTTTCCAACGATGTCTAACATATCTATATTGGTTAACATTTTACCAGTGTAATTTTCATGCAATCTGAGTAAACGCTCTAAAACGGTGGGTTTCTAGGGGTTAAAAGAAACAAACAGAAAATCAGTTTGTTAGGAACCAAGCTGGGTGTCTCTAACGGGTTTAACTCCCACTTAACCAGTCTGAAAACTGTTTGCTCATCTCATTCAATATTTAAAACTTTCAATCATTTCACCTTTTGCTGCACAGTTTGATTCATTTTATTTGCAGCTTGTTTGTATTTTTAAGGGTTTCCTCTAAGGAGCTTTACTTGTTGGTTTTTAATCTGTCTGAATATCATTTGTTACATTCTGAACAAAACTTAACTATGGTCTGTAATCCCATGCCTGCAATAATTCCATCAGTTTAGTTTCAGGTAAATAAAAAAACAATGAAAAATGCTTCCGCTAAATGCAGGTTTATATTTATTTTAAATCCATTTAAGTCTGGTTCAGGTTAGCCTGAAAAGGTTTTTAATAGGCAGAATAATAAATTGATAATCTGCAAACCCGTAGAAGTGAAGTCTGATAAATCAGATTCTAGATTCAGATCCTAATCCCCGCTGTCCTCACCTGGCTGTGGTCACACTTGGAGAAGCTCCTCTCCTCAGTGCATGGCATAACCTGGTGTAAATGAACAGAAAGGAATCCCTCCATCCTACTAATTAATCTACGCCCATCTTCTTTCTGTGAAGTACATTTTTAAGGGATACTCTCAGCTTGTCATAGTAATCATTAACCTGTTGTTAAAGACTGGAGCCTTTGGCTCTGTGTTCAGAGGGGCCACCATAAAGAAAATATGTTACCAACGGACACGTATCTGATCTTCTCATCGGAAAAGTACTGAAACTCTTTCATTTAAGTTTAAACTCAATCTCTAAAGTGACACTAGATTAATAATACTTAAAGGAAAAATATAATCTTCACCCGTTACAACTTTGCTTGTGTTAAAATGCTGGAATATCAGCTTTCCTCACTTCAGAGACTGATTTCAGCTCTTTCACGTTAATGATAAATGGGTGATGGCTAGATGGATGAAGCATGAATGGATGGGTGATGGATGAATGGATTCAATTCAATTCAGTTTATTTCTATAGCGCAACATCATGTCATCTTAGTTCACTTTCCAGTTCACCAGATCATCCAGTCAGATTGATTCAAAGTTTTCTATCTAAGGAAACCCAGCTGATTGCATTGACTCATTGACTCTTCAGCAATCCCTCACACTATGCATGCTTGTAGCGACAGTGGAGAGGAATAACTCCCTTTGAACAGGAAGAAACCTCCAGCAGAACCAGGCTCCGTGTGAGCGGCCATCTGCTGAGGCCGACTGGGGTTCAAGGAGACAGAAGCAGACATAGAAAAAGAAGCATAGATACAAAAGGCAACTGTCAACCAGCTCCCGTCCAGGAAACACACAGCCAGGCAGACGAGCTCCGAGCCAGCTCTCATGTCAGAGGATGAAGAGAGCACATCCAGTTAGTCACAGTCAGAGAAACAGGACTACACTGGAAAACAGGCCAAGCTCCAACATCTAGAAACAAAGGTGTTGATGGCAGCAGCACAGCTGATATTTCTCTCCTGGATGGAGTCACAGCCAAACAAGAACAGACCAGATGAAACTTAACTATAGAGATAGCTCAGGATAACGATCCACTCTTATTATAAGCTTTATTAAAAGGGAAAGTTTTGAGCCTACCCTGTTTTTGTTTTTTTGTTTTCTGTATAATAAGATGCAGGGGACACACTGTATTACTTTGCATAGAGCTCTGAGAAATATTAAAGCAAAAGAAAAAAACATGTGTTCTTAGTATGATAGTTATTTAACAACAGAAATAATGTTATTCAAATGCCTATAACCCCTTTTACAGATTTTTTTTTTTTTGTCCTGTCTGGCGATGTGTCTATAAGAATAATTGTCTTGATGCCAAATAGAGTCCAACTGATTTTGCTTTTGTCAGGAATCCAGTTTGTGTGGTCTGTTTTGTGTCTGTCTCTACCTCCACCACCAGGTGGCGCCCTATCATTATTGGTCCTCCTTGCACCCTGTGGCTCTTTGGATCATTATCTGGAGGAGTACTTAAGCAGTGGACTGTCACTACCTTGACGCCAGAGTGTTTGCCATGTTTTGGGTACTCTAGCCATAGATTAGCCGAGTCTATCCTGAGTCTTTGTTTCTCTGAGCCTAACCTTGTTTTTGTCTTTGCCTTTGGCAGGAAGTCCTCCTGTGTACTATGTTTGTCATTCTTCCCCTGGAAGGATTGTTTACTGAGTTCACACTGAGCAGGGGAGAAACCTCCACATGTGCCGTTCAAGTCCCTTACGGAAATCCAAGGAACAGTTTGCTCCATTGCTCCTCCGGGTCCTTAGTATGTCTATCAGTCCACTCTTCAACAAGTCCCCTCTTCTCAGGATCAACCCACACATTCTGGATTCAGAGTGAGAAAAGAACCCCCCCAAACGTGAGTTCCTCTCTAGCATCAACCTTATGGCATTCAAGATTCCTACGGTCCCTGGACTAACCGTTGTGATATCCTCTCCAGACTTTTTAGTTCCTGTTCACCAGCTTTCTGAGTTCCAGATCTACCCCGTTCAACCCTAACTCAATAAACCTGTTAAACCTTTGCCTTGCTCTCTGAGTGGTTTTCTGCATTTTTGGGTCAGATCTTTAAACACATCATAACAGCTTTCACTATCGCCATATTGTTCCGCTTTATTTATGCATATAAATAGCTTTGCTATAAATGTATTATATATTTATCATGCAGGGAGTATTACAGATTTTATAGACAATGTAAGTAGAACAGGAAAAAAATAGAAAAGACGAAAGAAAGAGGAGATAAAAGGGAGATAACGATAAAACATATTCAGTCTGCTTCACTTGAAAAGAGACGTAAAAATAACAGCACAACCAACAAATATAGTATAAGAGATACAATAAAGTAACACCTAAATACTATCACTGAAGTATAAGTTGTATTATTTAATCTGATGTGTATACTGTGGTAGCTGAAGATATGAATGGGCTTTCTGTGTGGAAGTGAATCACTAAGTACCTGGAACCAAGCACCTGTAGTTGTTTGTGAGAGTGCACTTGTGAATGTAAAGTTTATCCAAAGAAAAAATGCTCAATAGTGGTTGTGAAGAGCCAAAGAGGCGCCCCCCCCAGAGCACCGACTCCAGTGCCGGGGGACCCAAAGCTACAGACGCCCAAAGGGACCCCAAGACCTAAGGCACCAAGGAGGGGCCAGCCCAGGAAATCCGACCCCCACAAAGGGAGAAGGAGAGAAGGCCCAGAGGAAGTCCCCCAGCCACCGCAATGCCAGAGCCCCAAAGGGGCCATGGGGACGAGTGCGTGGGCTCCACTGGCAGTCAGCCACCCCGAAGTGGATCCGGCCCTGGGCCCCTGGGAGCCGAGGCCCCAGGGATGCTCTAGCCTGGGGCATCCACCCCCAAACATCGAGCACCAGCAGTGCACCGGCGAGCCCAGGCGCCAGCCAGCACAGGGGGGTCAGGACGGGGGGAATGGTTCTGAGATGTTTTTGGAAGAGGGAGCAGTTGAGACCCAAACCTGACAAGTAAAAAAACAAACAAAAAAAACCACATGGCCAGGGTGTACTCCGCCTCTCGCCCATTGACAGATGGAGATAGGCACCAGCACCCCTCACAACCCCACATATATATACCCCACACACACACACACATATATGTATATATATATATATATATATATATATATATATATATATATATATATATATATATATATATATATACATAGTCTCAATCATGCCTTTTGGCCCTAGTGCCCCCACCACACAGTCTCTGTGGAAAAACAAACGCAGACGCTCATTCACACAAAACACTCACATCCAATAATCCCAGGACCTAGGACCCGGAGGCGCTGGTGGCTGGTCTCAGGATTACCGGATGACACAAAATAACATCATCAGAAGATGGGACCCTCCAGTAACAACCCCCTCCCCAAGATCCTACATGTGTGGCAGTGTGATGGAGCAGGCAGAGGGAGGAGTCCAGGGATGGGGAGAAAAAGACGGGGTTTACTGGGGCACCCTAGTTCCCCGAGAACCCCCCGGAGTGGGGGGGCCTCCTTCTCACATATGTGAGAAGGAGAATTATAAATTCTATTCTGGATTTAGCAGGAAGCCAATGAAGAGAAGCCAGGATAGGAGAGATATGATCTCTCTTTTTCATTTTCATCAGAACTCTGGCTGCAGCATTTTGGATCAGCTGAAGGCTTTTAACTACAGTTTGTGGACTTCCTGATAGTAAAGAATCACAATAGTCCAGCCTTGAAGTAACAGATGCATGGACTAGTTTCTCAGCATCACCCCTGGACAGGAGATTTCTAAGTTTTGCAGTATTCTGCAGTTAAAGAAGGAAATTCTAGAAACCTCTTTGATATGGGATTTAAATGACAGGTCCTGATCAAAAACAACACCAAGATTTTTTACTTTATTATCTGAAATCAGTTTAATCCCATCCAAATGAAGTGACTGGCTAATCAGCTTCTTTTTCAAAGACTCTGGTCCAAAGACTATAACTTCTGTTTTGTCTGAATTCAGAAGGAGAAAGTTAAGAGTCATACAGGTTTTTATGTCTTTAAGACATGCCTGTAATCTATGTAATGGGTTAGCTTCATCTGGATTATAGACAGATATAGCTGGGTTGTAATGATCCAGTCAGAAGACCCAAAGTTTCAGCCAGAACACAGAATAAGGGTTTAAACAGTTTATTAAAAACTCAGGACATCAGGAGCACATCCACCGTGGGTCAGGGATTTCTATGAAGGGAGATTTAGGTTAGTGGCTTGAAGGAGTTCAAATAATGAAAAGCATGAAACCAACAAAACCTCGTACTCGTACTCGTACTCGTCGTCTCCCGCTTTATCCGGAACCGGGTCGCGGGGGCAGAAGACTAAGCAGAGACTCCCAGACTTCCCTCTCCGCAGACACCTCCTCCAGCTCTGTTGGGGGAAGCCCTAGGCGCTCCCAGGCCAGCCGAGAGACATAGTCTCTCCAGCGTGTCCTGGGCCGTCCCCTGGGCCTCCCCCCGGTGGGACATGCCTGGAACTCCTCCCGAGGGAGGCGTCCAGGGGGCATCCGAAGAAGATGTCCGAGCCACCTCAACTGACTCCTCTCGATGTGGAGGAGAACCGGCTCTACACTGAGCCTCTCCCGAATGACCGAGCTCCTCACCCTATCTCTAAGGGAGAGCCCAGCCACCCTGCGGAGAAAGCTCATTTCAGCCGCTTGTATCCGGGATCTCGTTCTTTCGGTCATGATCCAAATTTCATGACCATAGGTGAGGGTAGGAACGTAGACCGACCGGTAAATTGAGAGCTTTGCCTTTTCGCTCAGCTCTCTCTTCACCAGGACAGACCGGTGCAGCGTCCGCATTATTGCAGCAGACGCACCGATCCGTCTATCGATCTCCCGCTCCATTCTTCCCTCACTCGTGAACAGGACCCCAAGATACTTGAACTCCTCCACTTGAGGCAAGGACTCCCCTCCAACCCGAAGGGGACATGCCACCTTTTTCCAGTCGAGAACCATGGCCTCGGATTTGGAGGAGCTGATTCTCATCCCAGCCGCTTCACACTCGGCTGCGAACCGCCCCAGCGCACGCTGTAGGTCTTGGCAGGAGGGAGCCAGCAGAACTACGTCATCCGCAAAAAGCAGGGACGAGATCCGCTGTTCCCCAAACCAGACCCCCTCCGGTCCTTGGCTGCACCTAGAAATCCTGTCCATAAAAGTTATGAACAGGACCGGTGACAGAGGGCAGCCCTGTCGGAGTCCAACATGCACCGGGAACAGGTCCGACTTAATGCCGGCAATGCGAACCAGACTCCTGCTCCGCTTGTACAGAGAATGGATGGCCCCTAATAAAGGGCCCCCGACTCCATACTCCTGGAGCACCCCCCACAGGGCAGCACGAGGGACACGGTCGAATGCCTTCTCCAAGTCCACAAAACACATGTGGACTGGTTGGGCCAAACTCCCATGAACCCTCAAGCACCCTGCAGAGGGTGTAGAGCTGGTCCACCGTTCCACGGCCAGGACGAAAACCACACTGCTCCTCCTGCAGCCGAGGTTCGACAATCAGCCGGACTCTCCACTCCAGCACCCTGGCATAGGCCTTTCCGGGGAGGCTGAGAAGTGTGATTCCCCGATAGTTGGAACACACCCTCCGGTCCCCCTTCTTGTGGAGGGGAACCACCACCCCAGTCTGCCAATCCAGGGGAACTGTCCCCGACCTCCACGCGATGTTGAAGAGACGTGTCAACCATGACAGCCCGACAACATCCAGAGCTCTGAGATACTCAGGACGGATCTCATCCACCCCCGAAGCCTTGCCACCGTGGAGTTTTTTGACTACCTCGGTGACTTCAGCCCGGGTGATGGACGAACCCAGCCCCAAGCACCTCGTCTCTTCTTCCCCCACGGAAGGCATGTCTGTCGGGTTGAGGAGGTCCTCAAAGTATTCCTTCCACCGCCCGACAATATCCTCCTTCAAGGTCAGCAGCTCCCCACACCCACTAAAAACAGTGTTAGTGAAGCACTGCTTTCCCCTCCGGAGGCGCCGGACGGTTTGCCAGAATCGCTTTGAGGCCAACCGATAGTCTTTTTCCATGGCCTCTCCGAACTCCTCCCAGGCCCGAGATTTTGCCTCTGCAACCGCCCGGGCCGCGACACGTTTGGCCTCACGGTACCTGCTTGCTGCTTCAGGAGTCCCACAAGCCAGCCAGGCTTGATAGAACTCCTTCTTCAGCTTGACGGCATCCCTTACTATCGGTGTCCACCACTGGGTTCGGGGATTGCCACCACGACAGGCACCGCAAACCTTACGGCCACAGCTACGGGCAGCCGCATCGACAATAGAGGCAGAGAACACAGCCCATTCGGACTCCATGTCTCCAACCTCCCTCGGAACCTGAGAGAAGCTCTCCCGGAGGTGGGAGTTGAACACGTCTCTGACCGAGGGCTCCACCAGACGTTCCCAGCAGACCCTCATTACACGTTTGGGCCTGCCGAGTCTTTCAGGCTTCCTCCTCTTCCAGCGTATCCAACTCACCACCAGGTGGTGAGTTGGATACCACTAACAAAACTAACAAAACCACTAACCTTAAAAGAGTCCTCCCTTCAGCAGCATGAATAGAGCAGATTTCTCCTTAAAACTGTTGTTGGGTGGCCAACAGTTGGGTGGCTTGGAGCACAGAGGCAGGAATTAGGTCCAGGAAGCCAGACTCAGGCTTTAGTGAACAGGGAGCTTGGCAGGAGGCAGAAGTCAAGAGTCAGAAACAGGGTCGTTGTCCAGAGGGCAGAGAAATCCAAAAAGGGCTAGGCAAAAAGGGAAAATCCGTGAAGCAAAGACTTGGTCAGGTAACTTTAAGTGCTGGATACTGCTTGCTAGTTGGTTTGCAATTATCTGGCCCTGTCTGCCTGCCACAGGCTGTCTTATAACTGCTTGAACACAGGTGAGAGACATTCTGCTGATTGCACTGCAGTGCAGCAGGCAGCAGCTGGAGATGATTGCTCACAGGGAGGGCAGAGCAGGCAGACAGGCCAGAATCATAACAGTACCCCCTCCTCAAGGTC